TTTTCTTTTTTTTTTTTCTTCCCTCCCCCTTCCTCCTCGCTCTCGCTTTCCGCAGGGTCCTGCCAAGATGCTAAGTTGGAAATCGCAGCTCCTGACGCCTTCTGCGCGGCCCGGCGAGGCTCCTCCTTCGCGGGGTGTTGTCAGGAGGCCGGGCCGGGCCCGGGCCCGCGGCGGGGCCCAACCAGCGCCGGGGCTCCGCGCTCCCGCCCTCCCCGTGCCGAGCGCGAGCTCGCGGGCAGCGCGGGGCCGTGCGGGCGCGGCCGCAACTTTCGGCGTGTGCCGAGCGGCGGGGCGGGCGCGGTAAGAGCGGAGCGGATCGGCAGTAGATGTATCGCGCGCCCGTCTCCCTCCCCTCCCGCTCCTCCCTCCGCCGAAGGTGGGACGGCCGTGCGGCGCGGTATACCCGGCGCTCAGACCGAGGAGCCGCGCCGTCGGCTGCCGCCGGGCCGGGCCGTGGCCGGGCGGAGCGGGGGGGGGACAGACACGCACAGCCCTCGGGAATCGGGGGAATCGGGGCGGATCGGGCCGCACGGACAGCGCCGACTGCCCGCCGATCGGCGGCTGCGATCTTCTCCGGTCGTCCGCATCTGTTTCCCACCGGGAACAGCTCAGGTTACTCCCGCTGGTTGCTCTCCCGGCCCCCCGCCGGGGGAAACTCGTTACTTCGGTGCTCGTCCCGAGCTCCCCGGGCCCCGCTGCCGGCTCGGGAAAGTGTTTGGCAAGGGTGGGCCGGGCCAGGGGCTCCTGCCACCTCCCCACAGTCGAACGGCAGCACCTTCCCGGGAGGGGCTCGCGCCGGGTTCGGGCTTCGAACCCCGGCCGCAGGGATCGGCCGGCGGCACCCGGCACCGCCGCGGGCGGGGCGGGCGCGGCCCGCACTACACTTCCCGGCGGGCCCCGCTGCCGCCGGGCCCGCCCCCGCCCCTCCCGCCATCCGATTGGCCGTCTCCCCACGGCCGGCCGGCCCTCTCCTCCTCCCGTTGGCTGGCGGAGCCGTCGCTCCGCGGGGGGTAGAACGAGGCGGGGCAGCGGCGGGGCGCCGGCGGCACGCGGGAGCTCGGCGCTGACAGGGCGGCGCGCGGAGGCGCTGCTGGACGGGACGGGCGGCTCCTGCCCGCCGCAGGTGAGGAGCGGAGCGGGACGCGGCGGCGCCGCTGCCCACGGCCCCGCTGCCCCGGTGCTCGGGGCGCCCTCTGCCGGCGAGGCAGCCGCGCGGGACCTCCGCGCCGGCCGCCGCCCCGCCTGGCGCTGAGAGGAGCGGGGCTCTCAGGACGCGGTAAGGCCGCGCGGCGCGGGGATCCGGAGCGCTCCGTTCGTGGCGGTTCTGCGGCGTCACCTCCGCCCCGCGCGGCTCGCTGCGGAGAGACATCTCCGTTTCCCGCTGTATTTACGCGGCCCGCTCGGCGGGAGGTGCGCCCCGAGTACGGGCTGCGTCCCGCTCTGCTCGCGTTGTTTGCGGCGGTTTGTTATCGCGGTTCCTCGGCCGCTCAACTTTCTGTCCCGGGCGACGCCGAGCGCGGGGTCGAAGCGCCGAGGTGCCGGAGCCGCGCCTTTGCTTTCCGCCGCTCCCTTTCGGGACGCGCGGACGCAGCCGGGCGCCGCTTTCCCTGGCCGGCTGTGCCGGACTCGCGGAGCGCCTCGCTGTGAGCGCTGCCCCAGCGCCAGCGTCCGAGCAGCCTGCTGTTGTGGCGGCCCTGGCAGGTGCGGCTGTCTCGGATGCGAAACGCAGCGAGGAAGAAGCAGCGCGATTTTTTGTTTATTTATTTGTTTGCGCGCGTGTTTTTCTTTATTTGTTTTTGAAGTGCGCTTAAAAGACGCTGATGGATAATGCCGCCTTGGCAGAGGGTGCCGGCACAGGTGTGCATCGTTATCTTAATTAAGATCCGGAGAAAACGTCATCTTTCAGCATGAATTATGAAGGAAGATGCACAAGGAGATCACTTCAGCCTGTTTTTTTTTTTTTTTTTTTTTCTCTTCCCTTTCTTCCATATGCAGAGAGAGGGAGGTGATTTCACAGCCCCTTTCTGGTATTTCTGTATCACAGTTCCTCACCAACCAGACTCATGCTGGATGATCTGTTTGCCCTATAGTTTGGGACCGCATTGCCTGGAAGCCCTGGGAAAAGCCTTTGTGTCCGAGGCTGCCCCTATGAGTCACATCGGGAGACTTTGGGCTGCAGGAGAAATTGACAGCTAGGAGAGTTTTATGTCATGCGTTTAAAGGTACAAGCAACTTGCATTAGCAACAGAACGAAACTTAGGTATCTGTGCATATGTGTATATACTTACGTATATATATATTTTTTTCAAATTGCAAAGAAAAAATATTTTACTTTTCTCACCTTTATAGTACCATGGAATAACCTTTACAATACTAAAACTAATTAACTGCAGAGTGGTGAGGAGCTCACGTTTTGCTGTTAAACCAACAGAGAACTCATTGTACAGGAGCTAAAACCTCCCACGCAATGCTCTGGCAGTGAGCTGCAGGCTGCCCTGCAAGCAGTGCTGTGCTTGCAGCTGCTGCCCCAAGTGGGGTACTGGGTGGTGCTGTGCATGCAGTGTGAGTCCTGCACAGCTTTCAGCATGGCGTGGTTTTTGGGGAGCTCTCCCCATGTCCCTGCACTCTACCTGTTAGTGCTCTGCTCCCACTCAGACCCTGGCACATTTTCGTCGTGCCTGCAGTCGGGACAGGACAACACAGGCAGATCTCTGCCTTGTTTTCTTCAGCAGACCTTTGCAGGCAAAATCTTTCTGTTTGTTAGAAGCTGATTATCACTCTTTATCATTTTTTAATTGCACCAAAAAACCTGTTTGGTATGTGCAATAAAAACATGCATGAGTGCAGAGAGCCCAGAGCGGCTGTACAGAGCAGAGAGCTCCAGCAACCCCAGCAGTACTATGGGAAAACCTGAGCTGCTGTTTCTGTTTCCTTGAAGTTTCTTGTAATGAGCTTTCTTGTAATGAGCTCAAACGCTGTGATTTGCTTCAATTTGCTGCCGTGATACGGACTAAGTTAAATATGTCTTTAAGGTTAATTTTGCTTACAGTTCCTTGGGCATATGTGGTAAAAGTGATTGGCTTAGTGAAGGGGAGGGGAAAAAAAAAAAAAAGAAAACCTGCTCCTTTTTGTCTCACCCACCCAGTTTTCCCTTCCAACAGCCACCTCTGCTGGCAGCTGCCTCCCGGTGCCAAAGGAGCTGCAGGTGAGGGGTGGCTGTGCTCCGTGCAAGGTGCCTTCCCAGCACAGGGCTGCAGTGGGGCCACACCTGTCCCAGGGCGCAGCGGTGTGCAGGCAGCAGGCTCCTAATGGCAGCGCTGTGTTCACACGGCTCTGTGTTTCACCGGGCTGCCTAGTGCCTTTACCTCTGTTGGAGTGTATTTTTTGCAGTTCTGGTATTGGTGACAGCTGGTGAGGCAACCTTCCTAGTCCTGCGACCAGAGAATCCCTTGTAACAGTCTGAATGTTAACAGAAATCAGAGAACAACCTTTCTATTTTCTTTCGTATGGATACAGATGCAAATGATTCTTGAAGCTGTTTTCTGCAGATTAAATGAATGTGTGCTGCACAGAACCAGCATCATCATCATCATCTTTTTTTGTTTGTTTGTTTTCTCTCCCTTCATAGAAATCATTGTTTCAAAGCACAGAGGCAGGCTGGATCCAGGTAACAGGGATTGCACTGTGCTAACAAACTCGTGACCGATCGATCTCCTGCTCCTCCTGAAGGAGGCATTTCACAGCTTTTTCTTTCCATAAGCACAGCTTTTTCAGTGTTTCTCAGCATTTCTGTCACATATCAAGAATGCGTTTACCTCTGAAACATTTCTGTGCTGGCATCCGTGAAACTTTTCATGCCCTTCGCATTTAATTTTGTACAGAATAATGCATGGCGTAGTATTTAGGTCTTCTGTTTTCAATTAAGCTGCATTAGGTAACTAAGCTCTTCTTTCATATCCCATAACAAAGTATCAATATCCAGATGGTGGTGTGCTGGGACAGCATGGCTATGGCTGCTACTGCAGAGCTGAGAGCTATCGCTGCAGCCAGCGCGATAAATAACGCCGAGGTTGTGACTCTTGGCGTATTGGAGGTGCACTAAATAATGCTACAGTGCTGTTTATTACTGGTTTCATTGGATAATATGCAGCTGTAAAACCTGCTTGAAGCTTTTATTAAGAATACTCTGTCATTATAAAAAGATGCCTACAACTTCTTTATGATATTAACAGTGCCGGAATTGCTCTGTGCTGGCTGCCTGGCTGGGAAGGAGTGCAGCTTCTCTGTGCTCCAGGATGCAGGGATGTCTCTTGGGAAGGAAACAGCTCTGAGTTGGAAAAGACTCTTGTAAGGCACTTTTGTTCTGCTTGCTCTTTGCTTTTTCTTAAGTTTATTTCAGTATTTAATTTCTTGCTTTGATTAAACTTCAGCTGATATCCTCTGTGCTATAAACGGTGCTATTGAACTGACACCAAGGAAACCTGTGTGGTTATTGGAGAGGCTGCAGGATGGCTGAGGAGCTTTAGATGGACCGAGAAGATGAGGGGGGAGACTTGGTGGCAGGAAAGGAGCAAGGAGTCTGCAATCCCAGCCTGTTTCCTCATTCAGCCTGTGGCACGTCATGTGGCCGGGATGTGTCTGCGTGTGTAACCTCTGTGCCTCTGTTTGCCTGACTGGAACCCTTTGCATTTCCTGGAAATACTCAGATTTAAGCTGTTGTCCATACACGTATCACTTATTAGACTGTTGTGTTTTCAAACAAAAGCAAAATATTCATTCTATTACTGATTTATTAATTAAATGCCAATAAGTTTCCATATTCCCCAGACCTTTGGTTGCCGTATGGCTTTATTTACGGTGCAACTCTTAGGCAACACAGAACCAAAATCCACCAGTGGGATGTGGTAATAACATGGTGTGTGTGGGATTTGACATGCGTGTTGGATCAGTGGATGAAGTGACCCTTGTGTTGCTCCGTCCTTTACCCTAAGTTGTAAGGGAAATCTGTCCCAGTTAGAGATAATTCTTTTATTCCTTTGTTATTATTCCCTTTCCCTGTTCTCCCCACGTCCGTGCTTTGCCTTGGCAGAGCACAGCCAAGAGGAGAAGCAGAGAGGTCTGTGATGGGGAGAACAAATCCAGCACTCCACCCCAGCAAGCACACCTGAATGCAGGAGGAAACTTGCACAAAGCCAGAATACACTTGGGCTTGCAGCAATTTCTAGCCATGTGAAGTCCTATTCTGAGCTAATCCGAAGTGATTTGTTCTGCGTGCGGAATGATTCATTAAGTAAAGCATTGCAGTAGTGGCACTGTCCTTTGTGCTACTGGGTTCTGTCTCTAACCAGAAGCAGAAATGACGTTTCCAGTGTTAGTCCTGTTTCTTTTCAGACCGTCGTATGGTGCAGTTGGCAAACGTTGTAATAATTACGTTTTCTCTTTTTCTTTTTTTTTTCTCTCTAGATGAGTTCAGGGAGACTGGCTTAAGCAGCGCAGAAGTTCATGGATGGAAGAAGAGTCCTCGTTTCAGAGCACCTAAACATGAAGATTTTATAAACGCCATTAGGTAGAGAGTGTTGCTAATAGTTAAATTTTATCAGTAAGACTGAATGCTGTAACTGTGATTATGCACCACATTATTGGTCATGGATCATATGGAACTGCTTTTAATAAATGTACATAGACTGGTGGCTTAAATAAACAGTATGAGTAAGAACAGTAAATGGGGGAGCTAGGCACTAGAGGAAGTGCTGTTAGCTTATCTTTAAGCCAGCATCGTTTATTTCTGCAGTGCTGTCTGCAAGTTCTTGTATGGCTTGAGAAAGTCACAATGAAGAACAGTACCTTTTTATTCAATAAATTATTCTTATTCTTGACCAGAAAGACATATCCATTGTCCTTCATAGTTCTCAGCTGCTACAGTAACTTAATACTTTGTCCAGCAAAAATAACACTCACAGTGCTGACCTAAGAAATATCCATTTGTCTGTGGTGCTGCAGCATGTGCTGCTCTTCCTTCTCAGGGATCCTTTGCTGGGAGCTGCTGTGTGCTGCCTGCTGCAGCGCAGCCCTCTGGGACCCCTTGCCTCCAAAGATGGAATCCATGAGCCTTTTCCACTTTGAAACTGGGAGTTCTCCCTTCTGAGCCCAATGAGTCTCAAATATTGCATAAAAGGATTTGATAGTCTTGTCCAGGAGATGTGACTGACTTATTACTGATATTAAGTGCCTTACGATGCTGGGAAAGAGTCATTGCATTCTTTTTTGCAAATAGGAGAACTGGCGTGCAGGAGGAATGGATCTCATCTGTCTGCTGTGATTCTTGACCCACCTAATTGGCTAATGGCCACGAGCAATAACAGCGTGGCTCAGGGGAGCGGCGCTGGGGCAGAGAAGCACTGTGCTGTGCTGAAGGCATTGCGTGTGGTGAGTGGGGTCTCTCTCTGGTCTGGTGGCCAGTGAGGACATTGAAAAGGGCTGGTGGTGCTGAGGCTGTCTCTGTCGGATGGCTTCATTTGAGATTTTGTGCAGGGGAGCGATGCCCTCCGTAGTGTGGTATTGCAATTCACTTCTAGGAGCTGCTCTTTCTTTATTTTTGTATTTTTTCCCCACCCCCTGCTTTCCTTTCACAACAGAGGGGCCTTTCCCCAGGAGAAGTTGATTGACTTCTCAGCTCATACGTGCAGTTTTCTTGCACTTGGTTAGTCTCGAAGGCAGTAATGGGTTCTTCTGGCCTGAGAATTTAGTTTCTTTTTTAATAGTTTATTTTGCTCAGAAGAGAGTCTCTCTAGCTTGCTACAAACAGCATTGATTTTGATGTGTATCAATAAAGAGTTAGTCTTAGAGATGTGTGTTCTCCATGTAGAAGATAAAGACTTAAAACCTACATGAAAGGAATGCCTGTCTTGGAGAGGCTTGCTTAGATGTAGAATATGCCCTATTCTTTCGTATTTTGAAAAGACTGCAAAGAGTGTATATATATTCTTTGCAAGGAAAGAGGAAATAATTCCGTCTCTTGATTGCGTTTTTTTCCTTGGTCTTACAGTTGCAAGATAAACACTTGGAAACACGAGTTGGTAAGGTTAATGTGATTAAAATGAATATGTGATAACGAGCTCTGCGCATTAAAGATTAAGAGCTCAAATTATAGGCTCTGAAGTGGGGCACTCCATGAGCGTTTGGGAATTTTGTTTGTGCGAGGAACACGAGGCTTTGGCCCACGGTTGCGGTTGCACAACAACGATTGCGTCCTGTCTGCTGTTTGATCGTAACCGATCTGCAGAGACGTGTCTGGTGCACTGCCGTGTCAGCGTGGAAATGCAGTCTGGGCTGAGGCTGGGGGTGAACGAGGAGGTGATTTCTGCCCCAGTATTAGCAGTATTCTATCAAAATAGAGTGATTCACATTTACGAAGAGCGGTTTGTAGCGTTTTGACCACGCAGTAGTTAATTCTTTATGTATAAATTGATCCTTTATACAAATGTAATTCCATACACAACAGTTAATCTCTTTGAGTGCGAGTTGCAAATATGCTGGCAATTAATTTATGTAGGTTATGACTCTCTCCCCCTGGCCCGTATTCTGCAGTGGTTACCTACGCTAAAGTTGAGTTGGTTTGTGCTTAATGAAAATTAGATGTGAAACGTGATATGGAGAGGACAAAGAAGCATTGAAATCCTTATTGGTCTTTAAAAGACAAAGGTACTCCAGACAATTTTCCTTTCTTGATCTCTGGAGAATTTGATGTGTAATTCTGTTAGGAGCAATTTGGATTGAAGGAGATAGAAATATTTTCAGAAGCAGCGATAGGACCAGATATCACTGCGTGCCTTTTGCAAAGCCTACTTTTGTTTTAAAACACTTTGCATTCTGAGAGGCTAACTTATAGAGACTCTGCCATTGAGAAAGAAAAGCATTTTAGAGCTTTTGTGGAGAAACAAGCCTAGCTGTTATTTCTGTGCTATTTGCTAACAGTGCACCGTTTAAATGAAAGTTTGTTTGCATAACAGCAATGGCGTTTTACCTCCTCTTCCTTGGGGTTCTGTCCAACTGGATGTTATGAGTGGCAGTTGCAGTGGCTGCTAAGTGTTTAAATGATGACACCATTATGTGAAGTGATTTTGTAATTCTTGGCTGGAATCTCTCATTTCATCTGCTCTCATCTCCTTTGAATCATACTCCCTGGCTGCAGAGATTATGATTGATTTGTTTGTGACAGATTGCAGGAAACAGTCATTGATTTTTCAATATTTTACCTTAAAATTATTTACAGTTGTAACCAAGGGGAGGTATTTCCATGGGCTGTCAGCCCCTGAAAGACTGGGATAATATTCCCTGCTCCCTGACAAGACAAATTACCCGTAATGAGTGCAGTAGCTGAAGGGTATACTTTTATTTTAAAATATGTCAATAACCCCAGTGACTAAACGAATATTGATTCAGCATAATGAAGCCTGAGTAATGTGAAAATGAGCTCTTCAAGGAGCATGGTAAAGACTTTCTTTTTAGCTTGTAGCAAGAAGCTTTTCATTCTTTACTGTTAGGTAGTGCAATTGTGCAGCTTTAAACAAGTCGTACTGAAACAGCAGCAATATGCAGCATGAAGAACATAGCTGCTGGTTTTTTGGTGCTTGTTTGACTGCTTATTTTCTTCAAGCTCCTTCCTCCGTGCAGTTCAGCAGATCAGATGATGAAAGAGAAAAATGCAAGTTATCCAGGACAGAGATAGAATTACTGTTGGTGTTAATGTCTTTAGCAGTAATATTCTTCAAAAGCTAGCCTAATGGCATTTTTAAAGTGGACTCCGCATATATGAGCATGGAAATGTATCTAAATAAACTGTAGATTTAATTTCATATTATTGACTTCTCAGACATATTGATGTTTGTTCTATATGATCGCTCTAATATTCTCGTCCTTTAACAATTTAGGATAGCTGCTTTATGAGAAGCTAGATATACTGTGTTATAAAACTTAGTTATCGTAGTGCACATTTTTCTTTCTGGTGCCTTGTAACACCGCGTGTTCCTTACAGAATGGGAATTTTCAAGCAGTAATTCATTTATATTACAGTAATTTATGCAGTGCCATAGGTGTGGTGTGGGAAAGCATCTAATAGATTAATACGGATGTACTTCAATTGTTCAGGGTAAGGATTGGATTAAAGACCATGTTGGGGTGCAATTTTCTTACTGTTAAAAATATTGAATGCTAAAAAAAACTATCACAGGAAAGGATCAATTTGTCATTTGTATTTGGGAGCACTGCACAACACTGGGTTTAAGCAACTGTGTAACGCAGGCTTATACCGAATGACATTTTGTTGGTGTTTGTGTGTAACGTGTCAATTATGAAATTATATTGTAGCCAGGAGCCTTTATTGAGCCTGTTTGGGCACAAAGATGACTTCCCTTATTTTCTGAGGGGCGACTTCAGTTGCATCCAAGTAGCTTGTGAAAATCTTCAGAAGAATGTCTTCCAATAAATGTGATTTTTGCAAATGTCATCCTCTAGCACAGCTAGAAAGTTATTTCACTTGAGAATCTGTGGCATTGTGAATTAAATGCCAACCCTGGAATCTGAGAGATGTTCCTGGTTTTTATAATCTGTTAATTTGCAGAAGGGTGTTTAGTCTGAGAGGTTTTGTGCGTAACACCAGGGGTTTGCAAAATACTGGTGAGTTGTTAATGATGAAAGTAATAACCTCGCCAGGGGCTTTTGCAGGCTAGGGTTCAGCTGGGAACATTAAACTGATCATTAGAGCTTTGGCCATCCCAAACTGTCTGACTGTCTTCTGTATTTCTGTTCCTTTTGTTTTTTCTGGCTACCAGCAGGAGGTGGGAAGGGAAGGCCGCCGTTGGGTAGCTTTCCCACAGTAGTAAGGAAAAGGGAGACAGATCAGAGCTGGGTGCCAGATCTATTGCAGTCCGAAGGGCAAATAAATGTTTGTTTTAACCACATCTGCTTTTCCTGGATAACACTGCATGAGCTCAGTGATACCAAAGTGAACAAAAGCAGATACTGCTGGAGGTCCTGGCTGAACCAAAGTGGGCTTTTCTTGAACGTCACTGGTTTGTTTCACTCGCAGGCCAGGGAGCTCCTTCTGCTGCCTTTCCCCAAGACATGTTTGCTTGTTAAATACCTGCCTGCATGGCGTTCCGGTTCAGGCCTGAACGACATACTTGGCACTAAGGCCAAACGGTGCGTTCTTGGCTGCAGGAAGCAGACAAATGGCTTGTGAGCTCTGTGTGTGATACCAGAAATTTCTGGTGATGGGAACTTGGAAGCTCTTACGTTTCTTCGTGTCTCCATTTAGCATTAGAACCGCTGCAATTGCCAGGCTGCTTTCAGGTGATTAATGAAGAGAAAACAAACTAAGACCCCCAAATCTCAAATGCTTGTTGGTAGCATTTGAAATCTTCTCCCAGCAGCATGTTAACTCAGTTCAGTAGGTGAAAGTAAAGGAGAAAACTATGAAATAAAGCTAATGGGTAAAAATGGAGTAATCTAATTTGTGGCAGAGCACAACCATCAGTTAAGTCATGCAGGACTGAATATAAGTTTAGGTTAATAATTAGGGGTCATATGTCTCTAAATGGTGCAGGATGGGGGAAGACACGGAGATGTGGGTGATAGGAATCAAACTCCCTGACACCTCCCAACTGCGGACACTCTTTTCTGAAGTCCAAGGACTAATATGTCATGGCACCTGAGTAAAAATGGTCTGTAAGTGGTCAGCACCGGTTGATATCTATCCCTTGTGCCATAAACTTGATGTGTTGAAATGGCTGTTTTTTGTTTTTATAATTAACACACAAATAATTTTTCATTGAAAAAGGCTTGCATACAGAGTATTAGCATTTTTTTTAGAAAGACCACATTATGTACCAAAAGCTTTCACTTGGTATAGTGGTATGTGGTGTATGGGGGACTGTTAGAGTGCCATAAAAATCTATGAGGAGGGCCCACGGTGCTTTGAGGGATGTAGGCTAACTGCTGTGGCTAAAAGTGAATGGCTGAGTTAATGCATGAATGTTGAAATCATATTTGGAATTATGGAAACAAGTTGAGAAACAAGAGCTTAACTGATGGTTGACTATTTTCAGTGCTGGGGAAAGAAGTGTTATGTTTTCCTCTTTTTTTTTTTTTTTTTTTTTAAGGAAGCTCCAATGTCTTTTTATTTGTTTGTGTTAACTTATCTTTTAGTATGAAATGTCATTCCCAAAATGAGGTAATGTCCTTGTGTTGGTGGCAACAGCTGGAGTTGCAGAATTCATAAATAATTCAAAGAGGGATGAAGGGTAGGGGGCTTTGAATCTTTATAATGCACAGACGCTTCATTTCAGATACGGCATCATTTGAATTCACTCAATATGATGATTGCACTGACCTGTCATATTTATTTGATGTCCCTTCGAAGGACCATATGCTCTGTCCTTACAGTGCTTGGCATGAAAAAGGAAGCAAGTCGCTGTCCGAAAGGCAGTGAGGTTGCTGTGGGGATGAAGACCCTCTCTTCCTCTCATCACATCAGTGGATGTACTGCTGCAGGGCAGTAGGAGAAAGTGCAGTTGTTACATCAGTGCAGTGACTGCATGGTAGCGTGGACTGGAGAAAGAAAGGTGGAAGAAAGCAGAAGCTGTTTGCATGAAAGTGTTCTAGGCGTGAAGAACTCAGCTGCCTCTTAGGGCCAGTTGATGTGAGGTGCTTTGTGTGGGGGAGGCAGAAAAGACAGAAGCCAACTAGAGATCTGCTGTGAGCTGCAGAAATCTGGAGGTGCACTGTGATGGCTTTACTGTGGGAATACAATTACTCTGTTGGAAGCTCGGTTGTCCTGCAGTCTTCTGGGGATACAAAGCTCAGGTCTTTTCACTGACCAGTCCAGGAAGCTGCTTGCTTAGCTAAACAACATCTCAGGTAATGGTTTTGGGAAAACATGCTGTGGGAGTTCTTGAATTCTGGCAGCCATTGCATCTGTTTCTGCTCTTTTTTCCATCATGTTTTTGTTTGTTTGTTTGTTTTTTAGAAGTTACATAGCAGTGTAACAGCTTCAAGTTCAGCCATGTGCCCTAAGTAATGAGCTGTGTGATAATGAGTGATGTGTGATTCCTACTGGCTAACACGTTGGCTCATGTTGGCAATTCATAGCAGATAACAGGGCCGTGTAAATGTTACCTCTGAATGCACTATTAAGAGGCAATGTTTTTATGGAGCAAGGTGTAATTGCAGCAGAGAGCAGTGATTTGTATGAAATAGTTTGTCCATTGAGCTCATGTCACTGGCAGAAGGAAACTAATGAAGTGCAAGCTAGTGAAATGCAGTAACTAGAAGCTGTAAGAATGCTAACTGTATGTAAAACTTTCTCTTCTAGATCCTGCCATTGATGACCAAACCTCCCTGAAATCTTCTTATCAGTTGCTGCCAAGATGAGAAGGATAGCAGGAAAGAGGAGTGTGTAAGTGGTTCTCATGACAGTTAATTTCATCATTTTATCAAATGACAGGTTGTTGGTTTTTTACCTCAAAACTTGACTGTCATGACAAGATGCTTTTGGAAGCTATCTTTGTAAAATGAAACTGACGATTTTAGGGTACAAAGAGCTATTGTATCTGTCTGTACAATGTCGTCGTTATGGTAAACCGCTGGAAGGTCTTTATTTCTGAACTAATTGAACTTGCATACCTCACTCATTTATTTGAAAATCTGTTGAATGCCATGTGAGAAGTTCTCTTGCCAGTTTCTTTTCTCTTTTTTTTCCAATGAAACAGTTATTCTTACAACACTCAATTTGTTATTGTCTAAAGTACTGTTGCCCTAGCCTCCTGCAAAGTGTTTCTTCTTAGTAATTCTTGAACAAATAAGGAATGAATCAGGTTTTGTCCTTCCATGTTTTGATCAGCATATTTTACCTCTCTATAAAACCTTCTTTAGTTTTCAGAATGACAGCATTACAAAGAAAGGTGCTTTACTTCCTTTGCTTTTTTTTTTCCCCCCAATTGCAAGTGTCTTGTGCAATGATGTTGTGAATATGTGCATTGCCAAAACACAATTACTGGGAGGAGAGACAAACTGCTGGGAATGTCATGTTATACCAAATTAAGAATTTTTAACTTTTACTTACTCTGCGCAATCTTTTCAACTATAATTCCATATATTGCATCTGGCTTATATTTTGACTCTACTGGAACCAACGTGTCCTTGGAGTTGTACTTTAGAGTAATTTCAGATTCGTATGTATTGTGGTTGTTTTTGTGTTGTTTTCGTTTTTTTTTCCTCCACCAGTCTGCTTTAAACTGTTGGGATTAACTTCAGAGAAGGCAAGAGATACAGGCTCCTTTGCAGCAGCTGTGCTGGTTATAAAGGAGGCTTCATGCAAACTTGCTTGCTCTCTTTTTTGCAGGTTATTGCTCTCACTAAGCAAGGAAGTTGAACTGTTTTCCTGAGCACACCCAGAATTAATTCAGCCCAAGCTGATCATGTTATCACATGCTGGTTACTGCTGGCCCGGGTCATTCTGATGGAAGAGCAGGAAGCACACAGACCAGCTGCACCAATGGCTTGCCTGGGAAGGGGTGTCACCAACAGGGGAGTTGTGGAGCTGGTGGTGGTTTGGTGTTTTCAGCAGGTGCAGCTGCATCTCTAAGGTAAAAATTTGACCTGTTGGAAAGCTGTGAAGCTATGTTATGAGTAATATTTGTGTTTCAGAGACGCACTGGATAATGTGAAGTGAACCTTTGCTCTGTGACTCGTACTGTTCAATGTGAGTGAAGAGAGGTGGTGTGAGTGTGTGTGGCTGACAGGATGGTGATTTCAGGAAATCCTCTGTGCTAAAGCTGCTTGAATGGTGCGGATGCTTCCATCTCAGCAAACACACTGCTGTGTGAACACACTCATCACAGACGTGGCCTTAACCACTACATGCCTTGAAAGAAGGCTTTTGACACTTGGTTACCTGACTAGCTTTTAGAGAAAAGGGAAGAGCTCTTACCTCTGCAGCAGAGCCTGTCTGTCTACCCACTGCTGCTGGTCTGCCTGCAGTGTGGGCAGGAATCCAGTGAGACATGCAAGCTCTCAATGTTCCCTGTGCCAGTATGGCTGATCTTTGGTACAGGAGGCATTCTGAGTAAAGCCAGCACACATTTCTTCAAACCTGGCCCTTTTTGCATGAAGACTGTGGACTGTAGGTGCTGTCCCATTAACAGGACTTGGGCAGACAAAGAACAAGAGGCTTTCTGAGCAGTTAGAAATCTGAGAGCAGCAACTCTGCTCGTGTCTCCTCTTGGGGCACTGCTAGATGAAAAGGATTCAGTTCAGTCGCAGAAAGGACTGAGCTTCCACCTCAGCTGGTGCTGCATTCGATACCTTTTAATTGGTTCTGAGCAGGAGAATGAGGAAGTATGCACTGGCCTCTCTCATGTGCCATGTATAAGGGAGGGAAATAATGTATGATATCTGGAGAACTTGGTGCACATCAGGATAGCACCATGGCACTGCTTTGTAGGAGAGAACAGCTTCCCCTGGCTGGCGTATCCACAGCAGCACTGCTGTACCACAGTACCTTCAGACCAAAGCTGTTGCTCAGCCTCGTGTTGGCCTCAAAAGTAGCATGAGGAGATGAGATTTAGGCCTTAGGACTAAGGCAGATAATCACAGACTGGGGACTGTCCATAAACTTAGAGTGGCTAGTATTTAAAAATGATGTGATGAAAAGAAGTAATAGATATGATATGACTGTGTGAGGCCTATTGCTTTCCTGCCAAGTTTTCAGTTAATTTGGCTATGCACTGCTATACACTGAGGAAAAAATTTGGACTAATCTATCAGACAGTTTTTGAATCATGTTAGCCTGTCCTTGCAGTACAGTGCTCAGTGCATGCGTGGCTCAAGGAGGCGAACCACGTAATTTCCAAAATCCTCAGTTTGCCACTGAAGCAGCCCATAGGGTGAAGGTGAGGGCAGCAGCAGGCACTTAGTGCTGTGACAACAACCTGAGGTCAGACCCCTGCTGAGCTGTCTGTGTTCAGAAGTGAAGCACCATGTCTTCCAAGGACTGCTGACACATCTGTGGCTGCTGAGGGCTGAGCCTACAGAGCTCCTTCAGACAGCCTGGAATCCTCACATCTTAATATGGGCCATTGTCATACCCATGTTAAAATATTTAATGAAATACTTGTGGCTTTCTAACCACCCTTTTCATCTACTCAAGTGTTAATACCATATAGTTTCACATAATTAAACCAGTACTGTAAAATAGCATCTGTCTTATGTGGAGCACTGTCATGGCTACGTTATGCCAATGAGTAAAATTTTATGTCTGAGCACTTAAAATGATCAAGTATTATAGTTAAGACTGTCATATTGTTTATGTGGCACTAAAAAGAAAACAAAATACAATTTCACAGCAGACATATATACATATATATATTTTTTTCTTATAAATACTCCAAATAATAGGGTGGATTCAACTAGACTTTCTGGCTCTTCAGTGGTTGCTGCATTCTGTATGAATATATCAGGATCCTGGGCATTTAATAATTTATTTTTATTACAAACACATGATTTCTCTGTATGTTTGCCACAGATATGTTAGACAAAACATAACTTCTTGAATAGCATTGTACTCTCACTTTCAAACTCCTTTAACTTCAGTTCAATCTTGGTTGAATACAACGCATTCCTGAAAACAATCTGTACATCTGTAACATGGCAAGTTGATTTTATAGGATTGTTTTCATATTTGAGACATAGCAAAACATTTTCAAGGTGATGCATGTTGTTATATGGGGATAAAGATCAGTTACTGACGAAGTCTAAGGTGCAAGTTTTTAATAAGACTAATGAATAATTAGAAATTATCAGAAAAGGAATAGCAGATTTTCTAGCACTTTAGGATTTTGAAGGCATGTGAAATGGTTTCACAGAGGTGTATGCCTGATCAAATGGCTGAGCGGGGTGGAAGAATTCCTTGCAGGCTTCTGTGGTTTCTGTTACACGTGGGTTCAGACTGAGTCGCCTCAGTTGTGTTTTTGGCTTAGAAGAGAAGGAGGTACCTCGGTGTAACAAAGAGCTGGGGCATGGCAGCTCCCACTGAACTGCGAGGCACCTTTTCGTAAATCCTTTCTTTAAAAACAACAACAAAAATGTTTGGGACAGATGGAACAAAACCAACTAATTTGGCAAACCTTCTCCCTTCTACAATCAAGCCTTTCTCAAAAATGCTATTTAATATCACTGCACTTGATTCCAAGGAGTGTGATGTTTCATTGGCTTTAGGTGGGTTTATTTCCTCCATCCATCCATCCACCCCAGCGCCAATGAATCAAGCAGCACATGAATTTTTTTCAGAGCAACTGTCTTTTGTACACTGCTGCAAAGTGTAATGTCTCCTCGTTGCTAGAAATAATTATTAGGTTTAAAATAATCTGACAGCGTCCTGCTGTGTATAAATTAGGTTTGTTTTCTGCTAAGATCAGTTTGCTGGCACCCATTCACTAACACATCACCAAAGCGCGATCGCAAGTTGATCGCATCCGGTTATCTGCCTTTTTTCTTCTTCATGGGCTTTTTGTTGCTGTGCTGTCACCCAGGTTGAAATAAATGCATGCAACTCGTGCGATTCAAAGCTCTGTGCAGCCTGGGGAGGTGGTAGTGGCTCTTCAGCAGCAGGCTCAGGGGTACAGGCACTGCAGAAGGGAAGCAGTTGTTTGCGCTTCAACTTCTGAATCTTGTGCAACTTTGGTTTTGTCCAACTTGGGTATCTTCTGCTCTCAGGCAAGCAATATGTTATCAGTGAGGTCCCAAATGCCAGGTGTAATTAGCTCGTGTTTAGAGTGGTGTTGTTATGTTTTGACGTGTACGTGCAAACCTGCTTTCATGCAGAAGAACATATTTGACGTGGGAAGAATGCTATGTGATTCAGAAAAAGTTAGAAACATTACTTAAAGCTGTGCACTGATGTTTCAGATTTCATAAAAGGCCACAAAGTTTTTATTTCTATGTTCATGATTGATTAGGGTTAGAGTTTTAAAGGCTTAATGCTGGCTACAAGTACTTTGTAGTCAGTCACTGAGAATTATAGGCTTGGCATAATTCACATTTCTATTCTTCAGTATATCCATTATTGTTAGATGCTGAGTAGTCATTGCACACAGATGACTGATTTTTTTAAAAAATTTTATTTTACAGTTTTACACATGTGGAAAAATACTTTGTTAGAGCAGCTCCTGGGTGAACGGGGTAATTAGAGAACTGCGCCGCTTTTATTGGAGTTGACACATGCTGCATGTTCTTTAAGACCCAGTATGTGAGCAGAATGCTTCCAGGATTTATTGCCAGTCAGACAAGTAAAGATACTTTTAATAGGAATAAAGATAACTTCAATTTTTACACTGTTAAATAAAACTGTCTTTAGGAAGAGAACTATGACTGTGATACATTGCTCGTGCCCTTGTTTTTTTTTCTGTATATATGCATTTTGTAGACACAACTGCACACATGCTGGAGACATGATCACTTTTATTTGACAGTAATTGTATGTTCTGTTTTTACTTATCTGGAGAAAAAATAGTGTTGTAATGCTGACTGAGGATCTTAGTTTGCTTGGTGCCAGAGGAATCCTGCAGTTGGTTTCTTTATTTAAACTGAAATGCAATCCTCCTTAGTTTGACTTGCAGCTCTTAGTGTCTGAGAGCTTGGTGTAGCAAGCAAGGAATTTCATGTAACATAAATTGGAGACTCGGTTTTGTTTTAAATGATGAGCGCAGTGTTCTGCATGTGTAATGCCTTGCAAGTTGTGAAAAAAGTAGACTCGTAACTGCAGCACAGAGTGGCTAAGTGCATTGTACATGAAATCCCTCAAAAGGGCTATTGAACAGATACAGTTACTGACAGTGTGTGTGGGAACTGCTGAGTCACGGCCTGAACCTCTGATTAATCACCTGAGGTGAGCCTTGAGTCAGCCAGAGGAGCACAGGTGAAGGCAATTCACCTGTGCTGCCGGAAGGGGTGGAGCCAGGCTCCACCCCTCCTGGACCTATTTAAGAGCTGGCTACCAGAGGGGAAGGATCTCTTCTGGAGATCCCCTCTTTTGGTATCTTCTGGTGAGCTCAACCCAAGGGTAAGCTCTTCCACTTATTCTCTTTTGTGATCATTGTCTGTTTGCCTTACTCTCTTGATTATATTGTAATTATAACATCTTGGTTATACAAAATTATAACATCTTGGTTATACACAGTGTCATTTTTTGTGATGCGATCTGTTTCCTTTCCTCTGCTTTCTTTTTCCAACATACTGGAACAATTTGAGGTCCATTTGAGAACACTCAGTCTGCCTTTCCTGTTAACAGCTCGTGTCTAAAAGTATCTTTAGCATTCCCTTTTTTAAAACTACAAATACGTGTTTAAGGCAGAGTTCACAAACACATAGCTCTCGAGATCAAGCCAGTTCTTAGCTCACTTTGCATGCCTTTTGTTCACACAGCTCGCGGTGTGGAGCACCCTGCCAAGCACACTGCTCCTCTGAGCTGCAGTGAGAAGTGGATGACCAGTGCTGCACACAGCTAAGCACACAGCCTTATCAGCAAGCGTGCTTTAGGTACGTACGGGTGCAAAGTGCTTTCCTGAAGGAGCAGGCAGGTGTGGAAAATATCGGAAGGCCAGGTTCTTCTGCTGTGATTCCTTACAGCAAGCCCAGCGCCGGGCTGACACTGTCAGCAGCAGCCACACCTCTGCCAGCCCCAGACGGTGCCAGGTGGGTGGAAGCCTGGGATCAGTGGGAAGGGACACAGCAGGGAAGACAAACATGCTGTTGTTTTCTGAACGCTTCCAGGTTAAAGCACGGCCATCTTCATCTCCGCGCTGAGAGAGAGGAAGTCACAGAGTCACACTGTTGAGCAGCACAGAGGCTGGAGGTGATTTTTTTTTTTTTTTTTTTTTTTTTTTTTCCTCCCCCAAAGTCTTCTTTTAAAATAGTTATAATTAAATAACAGAACTTTTGCATGGAAAGCGAAAGCCAGTGGCAGTTGTTTAATAAGAAATGCTTTGTTAAGCATAAATTTTTTAAATTCTTAGTAGCATTATGTAGTATCTGTATTTTGTGTTGTTCTTACAGCTATTTGGCTTAAGACCATCATGCTTTCACTCCCGTATTTTGGGGCATTTAAACTGTTGAACTCTAAGCACTTTTCAGGCATTACGTTTGACTTACTGTTATTACGTACAATAAAATAGAACACAATATTAAAGTCTATGCTGAAAGAATATTATTTGGTGGCTACAAATAAAGAATGCGGACAAGTTTTTAAAATCTGTTTGGGTTTTCATTTTTTTGCTAATTCTTTAAAGGAAGTGTTGTAATTATTAGCATTATTTTTAACACAGAAAAAAGTGTTCCTTCCTGGGATGCGTAAGATGCAGTAGTATACTGTTGTCTTATATTTCTAGGGCTGTATTAAATAAACTGAAAATATACACTTGTTAATTTTAGCATCCTGTTAGCATATGCAGTAGGAACTAGTTTTATATCTGAATGTGCCAGTGAGAAGCTGTGTATTTTCAGCTGTTTCTGTATCCCAATAAACCCATCCGACAGACCGAGCTCTGCAAAAGTTAAAGATGAAAATTTGGTTTCTGAACTCCTTGTGTGCTGCTTTAGCATTGCAACTTGATTCCCATGTGCTAAAGTGTAAACTACCAACTAATCCGTAGGAGTTTTACAGGAGCGAGTCATTTAATTAACACTTTCAATTTCAGATGTGAAAGAAGGTGAAAGCGAGGTCTGGAAAGCGGAGAGAGGCTTTGTGCTTCCTAGCTGAAGAGTTGCTGTGCTCTAAGTTTGCTGTTGATAGCACCCATAGACGGCCTCCTTCCTGCTAATTAGGCTTCCTGAACACAGCCTCTGGAAATGGCTTGAGAAGTGTGTTGGGTGGGTGTTTTTTTTTTTTTTTTTTTTTTTTTTCCAACCAACCACTACACCACCATAAATAAGGAAACTGCATTGTATGTAGCTATTATACCAGGCTCGCTTGGCAGGCTGTAATTTAATAGAACAACAATGATCAGACTAGTATATCAGTTAATTTTCAAAACATTTTATTCCACACAAATTAGCACAGGTCCTGGAGGGCAAAATGACAAGAGGTTACTCGTACACTATGTATTTAATTAATTGAAAAATGCTCAAATTGCTTTTACAGTTGTTATTAGAAAGTAGAATCAGTGTTGCCAGTGCTCAACCATAATTAGAGCCCCGGGGAATTAAATATTTAGCATTAGTAGTGTAACAGCACTTAGGACACAAATTTCTATTTTTGTAATGAAAGCAATACAGCGTAAGTGCAAATGGCTGAAACGACAGCTGTGACAAGTGAAGCAGCCTGGGATATTTCAATAAGACACCGCATTGGACAGCAAGTCTTACCGCATTACTCGTCTGTAAGGGAGCTGCAAGTTGAAATCCCAGCAGCCACGCATTACAGCCCGCGTTTGGGCTCCTGATTGCTCGCAGGACAAGCGGCTGGGCAAATGTCACACAGCCGGGCTGGAGAGGGGCCGCATTGCACCGCAGCGGGGTCAGCGGTGGGCAGGGCGGAGCGGGAGCCGAGCCTTGTTTGTTTGACTTCAATTAGTTCTAAGCAGCAGCAGCGAGCTGTGAGAGGTCGGGCGTTGGCTGTGAGGAGCGGTGCTGCTGGATCGCTGAGGGACCGAGGGTTGGCTGGGCACGGAGTGCGGGGCTGGGCACGGCTCCGAACTGCCTTTGTTCTGAGGCACGCGGTGCGAAGCATGAATAAAGCACACGGCTGCAGTTCTCTGCTTTTTTCTTCTCAGGGTGGAGGGGAAGGAGGGCAGTTCGAAGCCACCTGTGTTTCTCGAATGAAAATTAAAAAAAAAAAGCGGTCTTTGGAGACGGCACAGCTTGTCAGCGTAGCTGAGGCTGCGTTTCCTCAGAACGCGCCATCGGCTGGAATTGCTGCCGCGCCGTTTGCAGACGAGCTTCGTTCCCGCTCGGCACGCGCTGGCTGCGTGAGCCGCGTGCAGGCACCGCGCGGCGCTGCTGGGGCCGCCATGACACCCGGGCGGGAAGAGCGTCACGTGGCCGCCCAGCCCTGCGCATGGCATGACATGGCGGCCCCGCCCTGCGCACGACATGGCCGCCCTGTGTAGTCGCGCGGTGCGGCTCGTCCGTGTGGAGGACGGGGCGGCTAGGGTCGGCTTTAGCTTGTGTGGAACTCATCTTCGGCCCGGTTTGGGCTGTGGCTGCGGGTTTTCTCGGAGATGTATCTCAGCGCTTGGGGCTGCTCCGCAGGGGCTCTCAGGTAAGCGGCAGGCGATGCTGTACGAGGCTCGGCTGCACATGGACTCCTGCTGGCCGTGGGGTGCGGAGGTACGGCCGGGGTCACGGGGAGTTTGGGTTGGGGTGTTTCCGTTTTTTGTCCCAGTGCTGTAAAACACAGAGGCAGGCCCTGGCCTTTCCTGGTTCCTCACCTGTCCAGTTGAAGATTCGGTGCCCTTTTCTGCTGCAGTCCTCTCTTTGGGACATGCCGCAACCTACCCTGCCACCAACCTCTACATTAAGATAAAAGCTGAAAAGATGAGCTTCAGCCCAAGGTCGCTCGGTGTCCTGATGCTGTGCCTGAAACCAGCCGAACGCGCCCAGGAATTCACGCACTTGCAGTATGATAGATCTGAATTTCTGCTAGGGGTTATGTTTCTGTGTGATTCCTTCCTGTTTTATTTTCTCCTACTCAACTGAAGCCAGATCCCGAGTCCATGGGTATCTGCTAATGTCGTTAAACCCACTGTGCCATTGAAGGGCAAAGTGAAGGTTCAAGTCCTCCTCAAGCTCTCTGTGGTCTTTAGGGCCTGATTCTGCAGCAGGGCATGATGTTACAGCAATGAGTCTGTCAATACAATAAGGATGACAACTCATCTAACTGTGGTTACAGAACTGGACCCGTGGAGAGAGGGGCTTCCTACTGCTACTTGTTTTATTATAAATAGGAAAGCCGGACCACAAAAATACATTCAAAAATTGCATCCCACTGTTCTGAAAACTCTGAAATTGGGTTCATGCTGTGCCGCGTTGCTGATCTGCATGTTTCCAGACAGTTGGAAAATTTAAACTTGCATTACAAACCAGGCCATATTGAACAAATGAAGGGCAGATTTTCAGTCTCAGCTCCCCGTTTTGGGGGTGGGGAGGAAGGGTGGTTAGGCTCTTAATGTTACAGTGGCGTGGCGTGTGTGACGATGAAATGAATTGGTTAATGAGTGCCTAAGCATCTGTTCAGACTCTGGTAAATACTTTGCCAAGGTTCAAGTTCCCTAAGGAGGATTAGCCACCTGGTACAGTTTTCATGATACACTGACAAACGGGACACCCACCTTCAGATTTACTGCAGATGAAGAATGAAGGCTAGAATATAGTTCAGACAAATGTACGGGGTCCCCAGGAAGCTTGTGAAGTTGCGTGATGTAATTTTGTAATCTAGCGTCTACTTTTGTAATTGCTGTGATTACAGCAAGGTCTGCAACTGGTGTGTATTTTTCTAGTGAGATTGAAATGTATTCTCTCAGCTTGTCTCATGCCGTCACCAAATAGATTTATTTATTTTCCTTTCTCTTAAATGGCATGCAGCTCTTTGCACGCAATTATCTCTCTTGCTATATAATATATAAAATCAATATACACCATAGGGCAACAAGAAATTGTGATAAAAATAGTTTTGAAGAGAAAAATGAGCATTTCATAGCTTACAATTAGGCTTTCTGAAGTGTCTAGCATTTGAGGCATGGACAGCATTATGAGTTGATGAAAGGCCTGCACTAAAAGGCTGAAATTTATGTGATGGCAGTATCGCTTTACGATGAGCGTGATTTAGGAGGACTTTGACCCATCAGATGCATTATAGCAAAGCGACTTGGTTCACTTGGAAGACAGAAACTTTGCACATTTGTTGCTATGCTTGGAAATAGCTGAAATCACACCGCCAACCTGAATTAAGAAAATGAAATAGACCTGATGCCTCCGAACTGAAAGAGGGCTGTGCATGCAAGTAGGCTTTTGTCACTGGCCTTCCTGTGCTACTGAAGCCATGCAGGTTTGTTTTTTGATTAGTTAGTTTGATTTGGGGGGAAGAAAGGGCTGTTGGTGGGTGTTTGTGGGCCAGCCTGCTGCTCTTCGCTCATAGCAGCCTCCAGGTGTGCAGGAGTGGGAGGAGAGGTCCCCAGCTGGGCTGCTTCTGTGTTCCCCCAGCCTCAGGTGTGGCTGCTCTGCTGGTGATCAGCGGGTGTGAGATGGAGCTTCAGCTCCAGCGAGATGTGTGAGGATGCAGAGGAATTTCAGGGCTTTGTTCTGCAGCACTTGGCAGTGTTCTGGGTGCTGAGGTGGAGAGGAGGCAGCTGGACCCTATGTAGAGCTGCTTGCCTGGCAAAGCAGGTGGCTGGGTGCAGTGCCCTACAGCTGGGTGCCAAGGCTGAGGTGGGACAACCCTGCAGAGCATGCTTATCTGAGGCAGTCAAAAACAGATGTGTGTAGTACCCTCGGTCTGCATTTCTGCATGGTGCTGGAAGTGCAGAGAAAGAGTGAGACTTTGCACAACCCTGCGTAGCTGGTGTGTTCACACAGCAGTGAGCAGGGCACTACCAGTGCAAGATGCTTGTTTCGGAACCCTCTTGTGGATGTCCTTCCTTTCTCTTGGCATGGTGGACTGCGTCCCACTCCCACATGGGGGCCACAGGGCACTGGCAGCAGCACTGCCTTCCCTGGGCTGCACCTGCCCAGTCATGTCTGTGAGAGCACAGGGGGAAGAACTGCTCTTGCTAAAGACGGAGCTTGTCTGCTGGAAGAGCGCCCGTTCACAGGTGAGAGATTGTCTGTCTCGGTTTGGACAAGGGAACTAATTGTTCAGTCCTGTCTGGCTTTAAGTGCTCTGAGCAATATGGGTTCCACCGCTTCCTTTGGGAGATTACATTGCTTAATACATCTGAATATCAGGAAGTTGGTTTCTCGCCCTGGGTATTCAATCTAAAATTTTCTTTAATTAATTTAATCTCATCACAAGCGCTGGCGAGAGGAACAAAATATTTTTCAGTGTCAGAGTTTGCTTTTTCCCAGGATCCGCTGGGCAGCAAGCGCCGCTTGCTCATCCCCATGCTCAGGTCCTGCAGGTGCACGGGGGTGAGCAGACCAGGCTGCTTTCCAGGGCTTTCTCCAGTTGTTGGGGGATCCTCACTGGCCTGGCCTTCAGGAGCTCTGACCAGGCTCTGCAGGTTACCACACATGATTACTTTGACCTTGCTGCAAGTTCTCCGGCTGATAAAACTTCGTTGTGGAAGAAAGCGTGTAAAAATGTGAGTATTTCTGAAGTATGAGTAATCAGAAGGAGGTCGAGGCTGCATGTGTGAGAGCTGCAGTGTCTCAGTTATCTGGTGATCCTGGCACCGGCCCCCGCGTGACTGAGGTGGATGAAGAATGGGCTCACACTAAAGCTCACGACTTGGAGACAGAATACATGAGTTTTGCTCCAACTTACACAGATTTATTTTGTGACCCTGTACAAATCACTTAACCTCTTTCTGCCCAGAGTTCCAGCCCGTACAAGAAGGATAGTGTTTCCCTTTAGCAGGAGTGCTGGACAGTTAATTCATTAATGCTTATAAAGTATACTCGGGTCTTTTAACAGGAACTGCTGCACACTCATGACGCCCTGGTGTTGATTCATGCCCAGCCCTGCGGCTGGGGCACGGCCTCTCTGGGGCTGCTGTGCTCCTTTGTGCTGTGGGCCTGGAGCTGCTGTGCTATCTGACAGCACGGCCTCCTCTGCTGCAGTGTTATGGATGCTGTCACAGTGATACAGGGAGAACAGATGCGAAATATGTACAAAATAGAAACATTTAAACACTTAACTAATGGTGCATT